AAATCAGCTCACGCTCCCTCACTCCCACACTCCCTCACACCCTCCCTCCCTCCCTCTCTTTCCCTCCCCTTCCCTCTCCCTCTCTTTCCCTCCCCCACCACTGAGGCTGAGAGGTTCTCTCATTAACATGGGAGGGGATGATAAACGTTACTAATTCTGAGTAAAGGAAACTGGAGAAGTAGGAACAAATATCAAGTGGAATATGATAAGGAAATCTTGAGCTGATTTGAAAAGGGGAAAACCCTTTCAAACTGTCAAGCATTGCCTTTAAAAAGCCATTTGCGGCGATCTTGCCAAGATCTCTGATCTCTGCCTTAGAGGCCAAGAGATGCCCAGTCTTCCCTTGCCTGTCACTTTATCTGTCACTCATCTGGATACACTATAAAGGGTCTTAGTGACTTGTACCTTACTCATGAAGATACAATTACATGGATAAGCTTTCTTCGTTTGCCCTTCTCATCATTTCAAATAGAACCTGATGATTTTGCTCCATGATATCAGGACTTTTTCCCCTCCTGCCACAAGCCCTCATTCCAACTCCCACCTACATTGCAAAAAAAACTTCAACCCCGCTTCTACAGTAAGACAGGCAGCAGTTCATTTAGGTTCCACCAGTCTGTAGAAACTGTAAATGCTATTTTATTTTAAACGTTTTAGTTTACAAAAAAAAATCAATGATTGGTACCTTTTTTTTAACACTCTCAGATTCCTGAATATGGACAGATCTTCAAAGGGAGGAAGAAGTTCTCATATGAAATTTAAGACAGACTGTCCTGAAGATTATGGGGTGGGGTTTTTGTTGTGTTTTATTTCGGGATTTTTGTTTGTTTGTTTTTAAGACACATAAAGCTAAAATGTCAAGTCTCTGGGAAAGATCCCCTTACAGTTTCAGTCAACAAATCAGAGCGCAGAGGAGACCAGTCCTGGTGCCCGCTGGCCCGCCCGGCTGCCCAGGCGTATTTGGTAGTGCATGGGTTGGGAGCCTCAGGGACAATCACACCTCGCATTCCCTCGCAGGTTGCTGGTGACAGGTACACGAGCCATACTCGTTGATGATAACCAGGGCCCCCTCGATGTGATTAGGTTTGTAATCAACATAGTATTCCTGGGCAGACATAGCAGCCATCTGATGCATGGTCTGTTTCTGCTTCTGCTTCCTGCGCTGCGTGACAAAGCACTGTCTGAGCTGCCTGAGGCTGGCTGGGAAACACTTCCAGGATACGTAGAGTACGAGGACCACGATGAGGAAGGAGAAGATGAGAGCCATCGTGCCTGTGACCACCTTGTGGATTTGCACAGCGTTCTCTGCGTGCTCGCCTCCGGGAAGAGCCACAGTGATGGGCTCAAGCGTGCCATCGTGCAGCCCCTCCCCACCGTCCACCAGAGTCGTGGCTGAGCTCTCAGGGGGCGCTAGGTCACTGCGGTTAGTGACGGCCGCCGACAGGAGGTGGCCGCTGGTGGGCTCGGCCCCATCCTCGCACAGGTGGAAAGCATACACTGCATCCAAGACGTCCTCGCCCTGTGCGTACTCCGGGCTGGCGCACTGCAAGTTAGCATCGTAACGTCCCTGGAAGTTGCTGAGCCAGGAAGCTAGGGCACACACGTTGCGCCCGCAGTCCCACAGGTTCCCGGCCAGAGTGATGCTTGTAAGGGACTTCCAGGAGTTGAGGATACGGGGCTCAATGTAGGTGAGGCGGTTGGAGTCCAGTTGCAGGGACTGCAGGTACGGCACGGTTTCGAACACATGGGGCTCCATATATTCTATCTCGTTCCCAGACAAGTCCATTTTCTCCAAATTCCAAACCCAGTCGAGAGAGCTGACCACAATGGCAACCTTATTCCGCCTCAGGCAGAGCGAGTGCAGGGAGATGAGGCGCGGGAAATGGGCGAAGTTCACCTTGATCAAGTCGTTATGCTCCAGGTGTAGCTCTGTGAGCTTGAACAAGCCGGCGAAAGAGTTGCGCGCCAGACTCTTCAGCTGATTGTATCCAATGTCGAGAAACTTGAGGCTGCGGCAGTCCTGAAAGATGCGCACCGGCACGAACTGGATGGCATTGGCCCGCATGTGCAGGGTGGTGAGCTTCCGCAGCCCGTGGAAGAGATCCGGAGCTAGCGCCTGCAGCTTGTTATAGGACAGGTCCACGCTGCGCAGGTTGGGCATGGGCCGAAAGGTGGTGTTGGCCAGTTCGGTGATCTGGTTGGAACTCAGCGTGAGTTCCTTAACTCGGCGCAGTTTCTGAAAGGCGTCCCCCTGCACCGAGCAGATGTGATTGTGATCCAAATACAGCCACGTGAGCTGCATTAACCCTGTGAACTGGCCGGCGCGCAGCTCCGAGAGGCTGTTGTAGCGCAAAGACAAGCCCAGCAGGCCGGACAGGTTGTGGGGCGCCTCGGTCAGGTTGAGCGCCTCGCAGTACAGCAGACGCCCCTCGCACCGACACTGCCCCGGGCATCCGCTGGGGGCGGCGGGCAGCATCTGAAAGCAGGCCCCCAGCAGACACAAGACCACCCCCGAGGGCCTCCTCAGCAGCCAGTGTAGACAGAGGCCGAGTAGCAGGAAATCCATTAGCGAGAATCTTTCCAGAGAGACTGGAGAATGTCCATTGGAAGCGATGGGTCAGAAATCTATATCATATTTTATTCCGAGGGAGAGGAGAGGGAGGGGGAGGGGGAGAAAGGGACACAAAAAAATCAAATCAATATAGAAAAATGCAGAAGGAACCCCCCCCTCCCTAGAGCCACACGTTCACCTTATAAGCATGCAGAAAGCCGGGCGGCATACAAAGTTCACAGCCACGGAAAGATCAAAGCCGGGGCAATGCAGTCCATGTTAGATGCGGCAGCAAAGGGAGGAAAAATTTTTTTCTTCAGGAAAGAATTTAATTAAAAAAGTGTCTTACCCACCCTTTTCCAGCGAGTGACAACCTCCATTCAGCTGCTCCCTTTGTGTGTAGGCTAATTATATGCAGGGCGAGAGAAGACCCCTCTGTGTTTCCCGAGGCAGCCCTGCTCCGCGGCCCGAGGATCTGGCAGACGCACAATGTCTCACTTTGCTGCTGCGCTCCGGGGCTGCAGGGGCGGTCGGCGAGGCGGGGAGGCGACTTCTAGGACCCGCAAGTTTCCCAACTACGTGCCGGGAGCCCGGGCTTCTCGCCTTCCTGCCTCGGTCCCCCTTTTTTTTCCTCTGCAGTTGAGACTGTGACGTGGTTGGGGGGTTGAGGGAAAAAATCAACTCCAAACTCGGGGCTCGAGACTCCCCAGGATTTGACAGTCTGGAGAATGTCATCGGCAATGACCACCGCGAATCGCAGCCACCTTGGAGTCCTGGTTGGAGAACGCCTGCCATTCGTGTCCGGGGCAGCTGCGGAAACCTGGCCGGCTCATGCTTTGCGGAGCCCAGAGCAGCGCCCGGCTCCTTCCCTCCTCCGAGGAGTGTGCGCGAGCCTGCACCGGCACCGACTGCTCACTGAGTGTCGTAAGCTGCTCGCGATTGTGCGTCTTCTCCGAGCACCTCCAACACCGGCAGATTGAAAAGGGGTGGGCAGAAAACCAACATTTTTTTTTAAACCAAGCCGCTAAAGTAATATATGTTCTTTGATGAAATGAAAAACACTCTCAGCTCTTTTTTTTTCTTTCTTTCTTTTTTTTTTTTTTGTATATATTTGCGGACAGAACAAAAAAATACAAGAGGGGGTGGGGTAAAAAACATCATCAATGACAAGATATATCTAAATGAGGGACTAACATATTCGCCCCCCCCCTCCCCGCACCGCCAACCTTTCTTTGGGGATATATCCCACTGTTAAACTGCCTACGTGTAACAGATACGTAGGACTCTGTAGAGCAATCAACATTTGTTTCTTTGCTTTCCAAAAGCAACTTGAGAGGAGACACAAGAAGGCAGGGATTTGGGGTTTGGTTCTGACAGTCTCAGTCTCCTCTCCTCTCCTCTCCTCTCCTCTCCTCTCCTCTCCTCTCCTCTCCTCTCCTCTCCTCTCCTCTCCTCTCC